TTCTGCACTTTACTGTTATTTTATCTAACAGTGACATTCAGGGTGGATCTTGTTCCATATTCATTAAGAATTTTTAGTTGTTAGGCTAACAAGCATGATTACAGAATTTTACTTTCTTATTGCAGACTCTGGTGGACTGCCTCTGAAAGAAAGTGAACAGATCAATGGATTCAAGCAACGTGTAAGACATGTCAATTTTCCAAATATTCCCGTCCCAGTGACTGTCGAGGATATTCCCGTCCCAGTGAATGTCGACGATTTTCCCGTCCCAGTGAATGACGATACTCCAGATGGATCTTAAATACCCAGCCTTTAACTCTATGTAGTTAAATACATTTTTTTACGTGTGGAATAAGAACAATCGAGTTACTGGGGAAAAAAAAGACATAATACAAGTTTTATCCAACTTGTGTAGGTACTTAAAACACAAATAGACTTTTGAAGCACGTATTTATAAACCTTTTTATGTGAAAAGGTACACGAGGTTTATGGAAAATACAAAGCTTGATCTAGTTACAAGGATGAAGCTAAAACGAATGATGAAGGTGTCTAAAGAGTTATAGTAAGTTGACAGAATTTGGAACGAAATGAATTTGGAAAGAACACAGAGAGGAGGAATATGTTCTCTCGGAAGCTGAATAACTTGCTGACCCATCATTCACAGCTTTTAGCTTGAGCTTATTACTGTTCATAAACGAGCCTCCATTAGATGTAAAGACCATAAGAGAGAAAATCAATAATATATTGCTAAAAATCGGGAAAACAACATTCAACTCCACTTGCACCGTCTGCTCATGTTTAGAAAATTATGTAAGCATGCTTCGTCCACGGGCTTAGTTGTCATAGAAAGAGCCAACATGAATACAAGTATATAACATACCAACGAATTTCAGCAAGGTCACCAGTAAGTTCATAGCTCAGAGAGCAGTAAAAGTAGAGCCTGGATGCTGGAACATCAACAGTTCGCCTGTTTAGGTTCTTTGGACGAGCAATGCTTGCCGAAGAACAGGCCTTGGCCTGAAGAAAACAGAAAGATAATTTGTAGCGATTCAAATATCATTAGAAAGATCATGCAAGAAAACTAATCATATTTCCGTACCTCACTGTATCTCTTCTGATCAATCAGAAATATTAGAACAAGCGAACAGCAATAGACCTCAAGTTCTGGTAAAGGGTGCTTTTCAGGAGCTTGAGTTGCAGATGTTGCGGTATCCAGTGTTAGATCCAAAATCTGTAATTCCTTAGTTTCCCAAGATCAATCATGTTAAATCACCAAAACAAGTAAATTAAAAGTTACCTGGATCCATTGACTTTGCCTGCAACTTGGTTAGATCATCCACAGCCAAATTTCCTTAGTGTCCAATTGGGTTCCCT